TATGAGGAGACATCAAACTACCAGGTGTTTTAATTGTGGTAAATTAGGACATCTGAAAAGAGATTGCAGAAAAAGAAATTCTAGGAATAATATCTCCTCTGGGAATGGCAAAAATGAGACCTCAGCCTTCAGGTATATGTAGGAGATACGGTAAAGGCCGACATTGGTCCAACGAATACAAGTCAACAACAGACAGACAAGGCAACCCAATACCATTGGGAAACCCCTTGAGGGGCCTCTCGCAGGCCCCAAAGCCAAAAGTGGCCCAGTCATTCCCAGTTACAGTGGAAAATGTGTCTCACCAAGAAAATTGAAAACTCCAGTGTCTGCCATAAAAAGTAATACTGGTCTAAATGATGAATTACATGTGGAGAATGAGTCAAAAATTCAGTAGAACAGATTAAACGTATATTTTGGCATACTTCTATTAACGATCAAAGACCAAAGCTAAGAGTCTGTATAAATGGCATTTTTATTGAAGGCTTATAAGACACAGGTGCGGATATAAGTATCATTACTCCAGAATATTGGCATTCGAATTGGCCTCTTCAAGAGGTAGATATTCAGTTCCTGGGAATTGGAACCCTGTCTCATGTAAAACAAAGCACAAGATGGGTTTAATGCATAGGGCCTGAAGGGCAAATAGGAAGACTAAGGTCATATATATCCAATATTGCAATAAATTTATGGGTCTGTGACCTGCTACAGCAATGGAATACCCAGATTAACATTCCTGTAGTTCCAGGAACTCACAATTCTGAGAAAGATATAATGAGGTATTATGGAAAAAGGTCACCAGCCATTCAGGTTGTACAAGAACATACAGCCAATAGCAAATCTTTAGAAGTACCAACAGCCCTACCTTTAAAATGGCTAACTTGATATGGATCAAGAAGTGACCTCAAGCTGAAGATAAATTGCAGGCTTTGAAACAGCTGGTACAAGAGCAAGTAGATGCTAACGATATTCAAGAATCAACCAGCCCTTGGAATTCTCCTGTGTTAGTTGTAAAAAAGAAATCTGGTAAATGGAGAATGGTGACAGATCTAAGAGCCGTCAACAAGGTACTTCAACCTATGGGTCTGCTACAATCTGGAATTCCTTTGCCTTCTCTATTACCAAGAGGATGACCTCTTATAGTTATTGATTTGAAAGATTGTTTTTTCACTATACCTTTGCAAGAAAAGGATAGAGAAAAATTTGTCTTCACAGTGCCTACTTATAATAATTCTCAGCCTACTAGGCGATATCAATGGACTGTCCTCCCACAGGGAATGCTCAATAGTTCTACATTGTGCCAATATTTTGTTAATAAACCATTGGAAATAATTGGTAAACAATTTCCCAAGTCCATAATTTATCATTACATGGATGACATTTTATTATCTGATTCAAATAAAGATACTTTGGAAAATATGTTTGAAGAAGAAAAGAAAGTCTTGCTTATGTGGGGATTACAAATTGCCCCTGAAAAGATTCAAAGAGGAGATTCTGTTAATTACCTAGGTTACAGAATAGGGTTAGAGAAAATTCAAATGCAAAAGCCTCAAATTAGGAGACACTGGTTACGGACTCTTAATGACTTCCAAAAATTGTTAGGAGACATTTCCAGTCTACAACCAGCTGTTGGGATAACACCTGATCTAATAGTGCATTTAAACAAAACCTTGAAGGGTGATAAAAATTTGATTAGTCCCAGAAAATTGACAGCTGAAACAGAAAAGGAACTGAAAACGATGGAGGAAAAATTACAGGAGGCACATGTGGATAGGGTGAACCTAAATCTTAGTTCCATCCTAGTCATGCTGCCTTACAGAATTTCTCCTACGGGGATTTTAATGTAGAGGAAAGATATTATTTTAGAGTGGATATTTATACCTCATAAAACAAGTAAAAATTAAAAACTTATGTGGAAAAAGTCTCTGAATTAATTATAAAAGATTAACTGAGACTTCGTCAACTAGCAGGTATAAACCCATCAGAAATTATAGTGCCTTTTACTACTGAGGAAATAAGAAAGTTTTGGGAAGATAATGAATCATGGCAAAGAGCTTGTGCCAATTTTTTGGGAGAAATTAACAGCAACTATCCCAAAAGTGATAGATAGACTTAACCTCATAAAGAGAATTTCTTGGATTCTTCCTAGAATTGTACATGATGCTCCAAAAACTGGAGCCGAGACATTTTATACCGATGCAAATGAATCAGGGAAAGCAAGTTATAAATCGGGAGAATTGAGTAAGGTGGAACAAAGTCTTTATAATTCTGTCCAGAAGGCAGAATTATATGCCATTCTTATGGTGCTAAGGGATTTTAAAGAACCTCTTAATATAGTTACAGATTCACAATATGCAGAAAGAGTTATCTTACATATTGAAAGTGCTGAATTCATACCAGATGACACAGAGTTGACTTCATTGTTTATCCAGGTACTGGACATAATTAGGAATAGGCTTTGTCCAATGTACATAACACACATCTGGTCCCATACGGGATGCCTGGCCCTCTAGCACAAGGTAACGCTGAAAATGACCAATTATTGATTGGAAGCATGTTTGCGGGCCTCAGAATTTCATAAAAAGCATCACGTCAATAGCAAAGGCTTAAAGAAAGAGTTTTCCATTACATGGCAACAAACTAAGGACATTATAAAAAGATGTTATACTTGTTCTTTCTATAATCAAACACCTTTGCCTGCAGGGAGTAATCCAAAGGGTACTCAAAGGAATGAAATCTGGCAGATGCATGTGTTCCACTTTATGGAATTTGGTAAATTAAAATACGTACACCACACCATAGACACGTATTCAATTTTCAATGGCCAACTGCCATGAGCTCAGAAAAGGCTGATTCGGTAATCACACATTTATTGGAAGTTATGGCCATCATGGGTATACCTGCACAAATAAAGACAGACAATGGTCCAGCATATGTATCTAAGAGAATGAAACTCTTTTTTGCTTATTACAATATAAAACACAATACAGGCATAGCAAATAATCTTACAGGTCAGGCAGTTACAGAAAGATCAAATCGTACGATAAAGGATATGCTGAACAAACAGGAAGGGATGAAAGATACCCCCAGAAATGGATTGCATAATGCTTTATTAACCTTGAATTTTCTTAATGCTAATGAGAAAGGAACAACAGCAGCAGAGAGGCATTGGATAATGGAAAAAACTTCTGAATTGAACCAACCTGTTTATTTCAAAGACATCCTGACCTCTCAATGGAAGCCAGGAGATGTGCTACTTTGGGGAAGGGAATTTGCTCTTGTTTCCACTGGACAAGAAAAATTGTGGATACCATCAAAATTAATAAAGGTTTGATTTGAAGAGGAGAAACTTCTTGGAAAGGAGAAATGACAGCTCATCTACAATGATGATATTCATACAGGTGGTAAGAAAAACATGCAGAATAGGGGCAGGGTTCTGTTCTTATCATCACAGGAAAACACTCATCTTTGAAAAATTCAAGGGATGCTGGATATTTGAATACTGACAGATGGAAAAATAACTGTGGAATAGGGACTATCAAGAAAACTGAATAGATTCTGTAAGTAAAATAGACTAAATCATATTTCTAAATTTATAGAGCTGGTTTTGGAGTTGGTCTCTGACTCAGTCCCTCTCTAATTACAAGCCTGTTGTTAAGAGAAAAACCCAGAGTTTCTAGAGTTTCTGTCTCATGACAAGAGCCATGATATGGAACAGAATGAAATATGAGTTTAGAAAACATCTTTGCTTTTCTTCATATCTATCATACCTTTCATTAAATATATCTATCATGCCTTTCATTGAATATATGTACATCTGTATATGTCTATATGATTAATGTTTAAGTTTTCCACAAAGAACAATGAGTTTTTCCTGCAGTGACATTTGAAGTTTCCAGGAAGAAGATGGGGCCCCATAACAACAACTCCACCCGGTTAATATGATGTCATGATACTGATAGTGCTACTACAAGACCTGTTTTGGGTACCAGCTGCACAAGACAGTTCTAATGTGGTTAGCTGAAATGGTGCACATCTTGTACAACATTCTGGCCAGACCTCCAAAAAACACTCAGAGACTATTTGCAATTTTAAAAGACATTGATCTTGAAATTTAACCATCATTTTATTTTCACAGAATCCCCCAGAAAGAACGTTGCCCCCATGACAGCTGGAAGTAATTCTAGAGAACAACATCCCCTCTCCAAGTAAAGTTTGTCCTTGGGTTTAGGGACATCATTTAGGGGTTGGTTATAATTAGTATACAGCTGAGGGTTGGGGGAGAGATCTTATAAGCACAGAAATCTTTAAAAAAAAAAGAAGGAATAATTGGATGATTGGATAATAGATTTGTACTTTTGTGCTATTGTTTTAGGCAAATATATTGATATCAATTCTTATATATTGATACAAAGTTAAATTATGTTGACTCTTGTATACATGCATGCTTCTACCTCTGTTTAAAACATTTTTTATGTATTGATATATACATTGTAATGATATATGTATATTTACCATATTGCATTGTACATTTCTAGCTCTGATTAAGATACTTATATATTGTTTATGTATTGATATACATTTACCATATTGCAATGTATACTTTTATATTGTTGATATTTGGAGGTCATATTGTCCTCATTTATTACACAGTTATTTATTGTCTCAGTCTTTAAGTTAGATAGGTATTGAGAATTATATAGATCAATAGTTATCTATGTTTGTCATTTATAATTAGGCTAATCATGTTATTTAGATACATAGATATAATATTCAGTATTGATACACAATCTTCAACCTCTTCAAAGAGCTGTAGAAAATGGCCTTTAATCTAACTCAGAGTTCTGTGGTAGTGAGACACAATTGCTCCCGGAAACACCGATCTATTCCCAAGAGAATGTTGAGCACCAAAGACACTCCACCAGGAGCCTTTCTTCTTGGCAGAACTGGCCTTTCGGTAAAGAAATGCCCATACCTCAACTACTGACAGAATAACAGAGTATCTGTAAATGGATAAAACAGGACTGTCATATCCTGCCAAGACAGGGTAAGATATTTTTAAAAGTTTCTTGCCTTTGAAAATGATATGTCAGTTACGTTAGGCCTTAGCCAAAGTTGGTTGCTTCAACGCTTCAAACGTGACTTTGGGTGTTTGCCCAGGTAGGCAGTTGTCTCTGTGATTTGTTACATGTTCTGAAAGTTGTTTGATTGCACTTCGTAATTACTCAGGCAACATTATTTCCCTTCTCAGATCTTCGATGGGATTGAAGATTATATAAATGTAGTTACTTTCCTCTAACGACTTGGCCAAGTTATTTGTTATACAAGACTTAAGCTAGTTAGAATAGGATATCTGTATTTATTATATATAATTTCATAAGTTTGTACTTATTGTATATAATTTCGTAGTAGGCTTAGAAATCTCTTAAACAAAAAGGAGAGATGCTGTGGGAGCTCCTTCCGCTCCTTCAGCCAATAGGCGCTGAGATACCAGCCCATTGGGGCATGGTCTCTCTCTCTTTAAAAAGGCAGAAGCTGTCTTCCACTCTCTCTCTGGCTTCCGGCTCTGCTTCCGACTCCTAGACTCCTTTCCTAATCGTGCAGAGGGGCTGTTGTTTGGGACGGTAATCTGTAAGTTTTTTCCCCATTGAATAAATAACCATTCTATTAATCATATTTCAAAACTGGTGTGGGATTGTTTGTGACTTACGCCTTCAATGCCTCGATCCAAATGCCTGCTGAAAAAGATAACTGCAGGCCTGGCAGTGGGAAACTGTACTGAATTAAGGAATTAATCCCCAAATATATAAGAGAAAAGGAGTTCGGCTATAGCAAAAAATTACAACAAAGGACACTTATTCACAAAGCAATAATGCAAAGAAGCCTTTCCTTTTAGTTTAGCCTTTATCAGATGCCTTGGTTCAGAAAAACCACTTGTGAAAAGATGGCTGAGCAATTACTGTATGATATTGTGACCTTTAGCAGCCATGATCACCTATTGTTGTCTTATTGTTCAAGCTAGAACTTTGAGTACCATATTGAATAGATATGGAGAATGGACAGCCTTGTCTTGTTCCTGATTTTAGTAGGAAATATAAACCAAAAGAATTCTGGAAATGGAGAATCTGGGTAAGCGAACAGGAACCACTGATGCAAGCATAGAATACAAGAGATGGAAGAGACAATTTCAGGAATCAAAGATACAATAAAGGAAGAAGATTCACTGGTCAAAGAAAACATCAAATCCAACAAATTCTTAGCACAGAACATCCAGGAAATCTGGAACACCATGAAAAGACCAAACTTAAGAATATTATGAACAGAAGAATAACTCCAGTTAAAGGCACAGAAAATATTTTCAACAAAATCATATATGAAAAATTTCCTAACCTAAAGAAGGACATGGCTATAAGGTACAAGAGGCTTAGAAAACACTAAATAGACTGGACAAAAGAAGAAACCCTGACCAAACAATGTTCAAAACCTCAAGCACATAGAATAAAAAAGAATACAAAGAGCTGCAAAGGAAAGAAACAAGTAACACACAAAGGCAAACCTATCTAAATTACACCTGACTTCTCAATGGAAACCATGAAAGCCAGAAAGTCCTGGACAGATGCTCAGCAGACATGAAGATACCAAGGATGAAAGCACAGATTATTATATTCAACAAAGCTCTCAATCACCATAGATGGAGAAAACAAGATATTTCATGAGAAAACCAGATAGAAACAATCCTATACACAAATCCAGTACTACAGAAAGTAAAACTGAAAACATAAAGAAAACTCAAACTTAAGGGAGATAGCTGCATCTGCAATAACATTGCCAAAACATAATCTCATACCAGAAATCTTCGAAGGAGGGGAAATATATAAACACTAACACCACTATCACCATAGCCAAATATGAAGGGTTTAAAATTAAGTAAAGGGTTAGGAAACGATTTTTATTTTTATTTTTTGCATGTCTTTTTTCTTTATATTACTTTATTCTTTAAAAAAAGATTTTAAAAATATTTTTAGTTTTAAGCTATTTTTATGACTATCGATAATCTTTTTCTTTTTCCTTGATCCTATGTACATTGTAAACTTATTATAATCTGATTAGAGACTTTTTCACCTAGATCTGTAACCATTTTTGTCTGTATGAGCAATAGTTAAACCACTATGCAGCTTAGCTCATGACATCATTGTGTTTGACTTCACACCCAGGTCCGAGAAACCATAGAAATTTCAAGTGTCATGTGCCTACACAATAAATGTATTGAGTTTGATTTTGCCAAATTCTTTTCCACTCTCTAGCCTCAGAACCAACTTCTAGCAAATATTCATCAGTTTGATGGAGTCTGCCTGAATTTTATCCATACCACATCACTGCTCTTCCAATTGAAAAAGGTAGGAGAAAACAAAAGGTACTGATTTCTGGGAACTGTACACTATCAAAAAAAAAAAACTTTTTAGTTGAATTCACAGAGAAGTAACTTCAGACAGCAAACAAGTTGATTTTATCAATTTAAGAACTTGAGAAGGACTGATTCACAAAGAGGAAAATCCATCTTTGAAGGCCTCTTGTAGAAGAAATTCCCACTTGTAAAAGCCAGTATTGAATAGGGTTTGAATAATTTCATACATTTCATATTTAGTAAATTCCCGTCAAAAGAGAAACATACAATAGTTAAATGATAATGATGTTCCATGGCCACAGACTTTCGTTTACTTAGACTCCTTCGCAGTAGAGACTAATGTCTGTAACTGAGACATCTCTAGATAAACAGTAACTCTCCAATGTGACCAAGTTACTTCAGTGTACCTCAGTTGAGTGACAGCCTACCTCAGTCTGATATCACCAAGGCATTTTGGCAAACACTGCTTCACAGTGTCTTTGCCATTATGAGACAATGCCTAGAACAAGTCATTTTTTTTTGGGGGGGGGAGAATCTAACCCTCTCATATTTCCCAAATTACTTGCCCTTGTTTGAAGAATTGTATATTCAAAACTATCCCATTTGGAATCAGGACTTTCCTTCTTTTACAGAGCCAGCGAGCTAGGAATCAGTGGTCAGTTTGCCTACTGTGGCTAAGACTCTGTCCTATGAATTAAACTCCTTTGCCCTCCTGCAAGCTTCTGCTAGTATGGCCTATAAAGCAATGCTTAGAGCATTCTACAGCTTTCCTAACTCAAAGCACCAAAATCCAAATACTACAAAACAAAAACATCAGGATTATTACAGCAGTGCTCCAGTCTTAGTTTGGGTTTCTATTACTGTCAAGAGACAACATAATCATGGCAAATCTTTTAATGGAAAGCATTTAATTAAATGGCAGCTTACAGTTTCAGAAAATGTTTTTTGGGGGGGAAGGATATTTTTCTTTTTCTTTTTTTTTACTTTATTTTTTATTGAAATTTTCTACCTCCTTCCCTCCTTCCTCTTCCCTAAAATGTTGTTTAATCATCTGTGAGTCGGGAAAATGTAAGGCAATAGTGGGTTTCCCAGTAATTGTTAAATTCCTAAGAACATAGTTAGCCACATTACATTATTATCACATGTAATTATTTGCAATTTTGTGGGGAGTTGTAGACAAGAAAAAAATTGCAGACCTCAAAATAAGTTTTGGATAACTTCGAGTATTTTATTCTTTAAAGTTTTATATTATAAAATTATATTATACTATTTTATGGAATCTACATAGCCTTTAATAAAATACCAGCTACACTATTGAAGACAGCCTTTTATGAAAATAAATGGAGAAAGAGGGTCGTGTATTACAAGAAAATAATGTTTGAAAAACAGATTAATAGCCTATATAAATGAAGCTAATTATTTTGGAAATACTAAGAATGTCTATTTTAAACCTTTCTTCACAATTACTCTGTAATTTCTGTTTCTCTAAAAAGAAGAGTAACAGTTGAAGTTTTATGATATACATTCAATATGCATGTATAAGTGCATATATATTATGTTTATACAAATAATTTTGTCTTAGAAGATAGTTAGTTTTGGGTGTGACTGAAATTTTTCATTTGTCAGAAGGTTAATGGATGTAGGAAGATAGAAAGTTAGAAGCATCTATGTTATAGATTCCTGGGTGAACATAAATTGTGTCTAAATTTGTCAATTTCCAGATTAACCTATACCCATAAAAAAGACAAGAGTCAGAAATAGCCTGCTAAAAATTTTATTGTTTTTAGAAAGATAGATGATGGCCACATTATTCCAGTTGCCCAATCCACTAAAGTCAGTATTTTCTTTTCATTATCTGAAAGAAACAAACACAAAGAGAAGTTATAGGAAAATCACAACAAGATGGCATTTCTCATCTCTTTTTAACAACTTAAATGATGGAGATAGAAGTCCATATCTTTTTTCTTCTTCTCTATTCTTTGTCCCTTCCTTTTCTGGTTCTTTTTATTCATTTCGGTAACCATTTAGCACATAATGCACTCTGAAGTAAACGAACCAAATATATTTTATTGGTTATATGGCTTTAGCAAGAATGCATTTAATGTTAAAATGGTGAACAGGTGAATAAGGCATGTGCATATAATCACAGCACTTGGGAAGTAGAGGTGTAGCACGAGGGGCCGGCTTGTTGGGGTTTCTGTTCCCACCCAGTACCCCACAACCGGCAAGTCCCAGAGAAAATCAATCACACAGAGATCTCTATAAGTTATAAAACTGATTGGCCCATTAGGTCAGGCAACTTATTAGCTCTTATAACTTTTGTTACCCCATTATCCTTATCTACGTTAGCCACACAGCTCAGTACCTTTCTCAGCTGGGCAGGTTACATCCTGCCTCTTCCATGGTCTGTGCAGGAATGGCGAAGGGAGATTCCTCCTCCCTAGCCTTCTCCTATTCTCATTGCCCCGTCCCTACTTCCTGTCTGGTTGACCTGCCTATACTTCCTGCCTGTCCAATCAGCGTTTTATTAAAATACATGATTGACAGAATACAGATAATTCTCCTGCACCATAGAGGGAAGATGATTTGGAATTCACAGGTATACTTGGCCACAGAGCAAGTTTGAAGTCAGCCTGGTCTCTATGAACCTCATCTCAGAAAATCATTTAAACTATATGACATATTTATAAAGGTGGGTTACTAAGACAGATTTTATAAGTGAAACACAGAAACCAGGTTGAATGTTCATTGACAGTATATTTAAACTAACCAAAGACAGCAAGAGCCACAAAATGTTATGGCACAAAACGGCAAAAACAAAACCACGAAATATTTGAATACAAACATGCTGTCTCTATGAACTAGTGTGGATGTTTTTGTTAAAAAAGAAGTAATTAATATAAGGGTACTACGTAGATAAGAAAATATGTGTGTGTATTTCTTTTTCTTTTTGAAATATGAAATGCTTCACAAATTTGTGTGTAATACTTGTTCAGAGACCATGCTAATATCCTCTGTATATGTGCTGCTGAAGCAAAGATCTGCCTGTATTTCTAATAAATTGTTGAAAGAAATAGTGGAAGCCTTTAATGATGGGGAAGGTGAGGAGGAATGATGACTTATACTTTTAAAAAGTTAACTTGATGCCTTGATTTCTCATTTATTTATTTTTTCTTATTCTGGGCATAGTAGGTAGGGTTTCTTACATGAGCAATGAGGCAGCAGAATTTATGAATAATATTGTACTTCTTGCACAAGCAATATAAATTATGTTGTCAAGGATGTATAGATATTGTTTTTCACAATCACAATAATCTGAGCAGTATACAAAACATTAATCATCTTCCTATATCACCACAGATTATTCAAATAATGATAGTTGTATAAAAATAGTAAACTATCCTAATAATAGTCATAGTAATGAGAACTTAAGTTATGTAATATAAGTGTGTTTAAAGTTGAGTTAGCACAGCTTGTGCTTGCAAAGATATAAGAATTAAGATGTTTCATTAACAGTGAATTCAAATACTACCTTATGATGTATCTTTGATTACTGAGGACCCTGTCCTTGGGAAGGTCCCTGAGGTCTGCCTCCCTGTTGGGGTGGGCCTTGATGGTTTCCAGGCTGAGGGCCTTGGTTCTGCTGTTGGCCTCCTTGTTGCGGTGGACCTTGCTGGTTTCCTTGCTGAGGGCCTTGATTCTGTTGCTGACCTCCTTTTTGTGGAGGGCCTTGGTGGTTTCCAGGCTGAGGGCCTTGGTTCTGCTGAGGGCCTCCTTGTTGGGGTGGGCCTTGCTGGGCTGGACCTTGCTGGGGTGGACATTGCTGGGGTTGGCCATGCTGGGGTTGGCCTTTCTGGGGTGGGCCTTGCTGGGGTGGACCTTGCTGGGCTGGACCTTCCCGGGGTTGGCCATGCTGGGGTGGGCCTTGCTGGGGTGGACCTTGCTGTGGTGGGCCTTGCTGGGTTGGACCTCTCTGGGGTGGGACTTGCTGGAGTGGGCCTCTCTGGGGTGGGCCAGGCCTAGGACCAAAACCTTGGTGGTGTTGGGGACTGTGGGGGAATGCTGCAAAAGAGGATCCATGATTAGAATCTGAGATGCATACGCATGTTCTTTATTTGGTACATCACAAGAAGTGGGAAGTTTAGTGCTGAAACAAATGCCCTCTTTCCTTTTATCAACAGCTCAGTGACTACTACATTGTTCCTCTTATTCATTTGTGAGTCATCCTCATGATCATTCCCACCTAGTTTTTAGGGAAATTATCTTAGAATACATGAATTTATCATATAAAAATTGAATCTTTATGCTTGGTACTAGAATTTGAGGTCTTTGAAAACTAATTTTTCATGGAGAAGACAGAAGCAAAAACATAGGATTCTAAAATTATTTGAGTATCCTACCCAGAAATGCTCCTACGTTCTTTTTTTTTTGTCTGTTCTACATTCACTGAGGCAAGATGCCTGTTATCCACTGACAACTTCATTATAGGATATTTACAGTGGGTCTTTCTTCTGTGAATCTAACTATTTGATCCTTCTCAAAACAGAGGTGACTCTAGAGATCCAGCCCTACTTTTTTATTCTTCTGTTCCCACCCCTTAATCAAGTTTCTATTGTACATGACAACATTCAATTCCTTGTTTGGAATGACGATTCGAACCCAACACATTGGTACTGATTTTACATTCCTGCTTTTCTGATAACCCTCTCTTCTCTCTCTCTGCATCTTCCAGGAGTGACATGTGATCTGTTACCTAAAGCAGATTCACTGAACAAACAACCATTTTTGTCTTACCTTCACTGAAGCTCTGAAGAGAGCTCAGGGCCAGCAAGGCAACTGTGAACAGGGAAAACAGCATCTTGGCGTCTCTGGAGTTTCTTCCAAGTCTGTGCTGCAGGCAGTGTGGTACCTGCCTTTATATGACCCAGAAGAAGAATGGTGTCTTTGATCCCATCATGGATGACTTCATATTTGACAAAGTAGGAAATATTGCATCCTTGACTCTCATTGGGAGTTCTGCCAGCTAGTATAACATGAGGCATTGGAAGCGTGACTTGGATTAAGAGCAGATGAAGCATAGCTATGATGCTAATATCAATATTAAAATTTTGCCATTATATGAATTTCATTGTATTTGGTATGCAGTTCTTATAAAGGTTATGATAGTGCTGACTGATACTTTTGTAAACATGAAGATGTTTCATATCTTTAGCCTTCATTTTCATCTGTAGATCAGCAATCATTCTGTAACCATGGGTGTGATATATAGCTGTATTTTCCATGATACACATGTCATTTATGTTTGGATAAGATGCAATCCCTGCCACCTCATTTATTCAGAACTACAATTACTATACAAAATCCATAACGTGCTGTTTGAAATGGGGAACACTTGGAGCTTTACATTACCAAAATATTTTATTCTTTGGGTGTGAGATTTTGAGTGTGTGTGTGTGTGTGTGTGTGTGCTCGCACATTTGTATGTATATGTATGTTTGTACTTCTTCTTTACAGTCCTGGTAAAGTATGAACAAAGGACAACTTTGGATGCAGGTACTCAGATCCTGCTTTCTGTGCTGTATTTAGGATTAGATATCTCATTGGCCTTAAATCATCATGTTGAGAAACTGTTTGGCTTATAAGTCTCCAGAGATACAGATAGTTTCATCTCCTAGGTCATATTTGTTGGGATTTTAGAAATATGTCCTTTTACATGGCTTTTTACTTGGATTCAGGAAAACAGAATAGTGTTCTTATGACCAGAAAAAAATTACATTACTGATTGAGTTATCTTCACCGCTCTTAAACATTCTAATCTTGTTAACAAAAATACTACAAATAGTGGCATGAGATTTCTACAGTGCTTAAGACAAATACATAATTCCTTGACAAATCCATGCCATTTCATGTTTCTGAGATAACGACTGTCAAATCCCTTTCTAGAATGTCCCATATAACTAGCCTTATTCTTTCTCACTTTTAGGAAATGTTTTCAACCACTACCAGTAACCATGACTGGTTATGATTATATAATAGAATTAAATAATGGGCTATTAACAGCAAATTTAAATCATATTACATTTATGTTCTATTTTCTCATATGATCCTATGCTCCTTTCTTAGAGTGGTCAACACTGAATATTTTCTATGCTTCCTGTTGATATTAATTCAATTCCAACATCTGTTTTAACCTAAACTACTAGGGGTTTGGATTTCTTTCTTTTTCTTTTTCTTTTTCTTTTTCTTTTGTTTGTATTGGGTTTTCTTTTTTTCTTTCTTTCTTTTTTTCTTTCTTTTTCTTCTCTTTCTTTGTTTTTCAAGACAGGGTTTCTCTGAATAGCTTTGAAACCTGTCCTGGAACTTGCTCTGTAGAAATGATGGCCTCAAACACAGAGAGATTTACCTGTCTCTGCCTCCACAGTGCTGGGACTAAAGGTGTGTACCGCCACTGTACAGCCTGATCTACTGTAATTAAAGTAATTGCTTGCACATTTTTTCTTCTGGTATTCCTTACTGTCTAACTAGCTTTTTATTTAAAGATATTATAGGACTATTTCTAAAACATTCCAAATCCTTATTATTTCTATTCTTTAATATGTTGCTCATTTTTTTTATTTAAAATTTGGTTACAAAATCTATTCACATTTTCAGCCAGCTGTCTTTGTTTACTGTCTTTTACTGTGTGTCTATTTTGTCCAATCTAAAAGTAGGCAGTTCATTTAAGATAGAGGTTTATTCATCTAGACAACTGGTCTAGACAGACAGACTGAAAATGTGAGCCAATTTCCATGTTGTCCAAAGGCCAGAGAGTTGGAACTTATCTCTAATTCCTTCAAGGTTATCATGGGCTTTTTGTTTGTTTGTTTGTTTTGTTTTTTGTTTTGCCAAAACAGGGTTTCTCTGTTTGGACATCTATAGCTGTCCTGGAGCACGCTCTGTATACAAGGCTGGCATTGAAATCACAGAGATCCACCTGACCCTGCCTCAAAAGTGCTGGGATTATTGTGTTTCTACTTCAAACAAATTTCCCACCTAGATTTAGGTCAGAGAGTTCTGCTCTCTAAAAGGTATTGTCAACAAGTGTGGGTAATAGCTAGACCTTGTACTCCAGGAATAGAGAAATAGATATGTTCCTACCTCACACAAAAGTCTAAGGATTAAACTAAATTTCCAGTTTCCTTAAAAAGGTAACTTTGGATTCCACCAGGGGAGTAGTTCGCCTACAGAATGTTTTGATCTAGGGTGTAAGTATGACTTGTTTTGTTCTAGCAACAGAATGTTTAACTATGAATGTAGCCCACAACTTTCAGCTGGTATGTTCATTTCCTTGTATCATGATAATGCAGTCTTTTGTCTTGCTCTTACCTTTTGTGGTCGGGGTAATTTAAGCAATTGAAAATTAAATGCGGCTCTTCCCCCCCTTCCTCCTGGGGCCACAAGATCTCCCCAGAGCTGCTCCCTTGCATGCTGGGCCTGGGCTGTGAGTGCAACCCGGCAGGAGGGAGTGCCTGTGTTTCAATAGACTGCCTGAGGAAAGGTAGGCCTTCTGTCAGTGAAGTCCCTGCCCAACAAGGGAACCTGACCTGGTACCAGAAGATCCAATAGAGAGCATTTGAAGGAAGAGATTGCCAAACACCAAGGCAAGAACTCCTCCAACAATCTAAAAAACAACATGAAAACACCAGATCCCAACGACCCTACAATAGAAGGACCTGAACCTCTTAATTCAGAAGAAGTGGAAAAAAGTGCCATTATGAAAGCAATAGAGTCTCTTAAACAGGATATGAATAACTCCCTTAAAATACTGGATGAGAAATACAACAAAAAGATTGAAGAAATGAGTAAAGAACTGGATGAGAAGTATAACAAAAAGTTCAAAGAAATTAATAAATCAGTGAATGATACACTGGGAAACCAAGAAAAAACAATCAAACAGGTAATGGAAACAGTTCAAGAATTGAAAACTGAAATGGAGGCAATGAAGAAAACACAAAACGAGGGCCGGCTGGATATGGAAAATCTAGGTAAACGAACAAAGACTACAGAATCAAGCATAACCAATAGGATGCAAGAGATGGAAGAACGAATCTCAGAGTCTGAAGATACCATATAGAAAATAAATGCTCAGATCAAAGAAAACAACAAATCCAACAAATTCTCATCACAAAACATTCAAGAAATCTGGGACACAATAAAAAAACCAAATCTAAAAATAATAGGGATTGAAGGAGAAGAACTGCAGATCAAAGGCCCAGAAAATATATTCAAAAAAATTATAGAAGAAAACTTTCCCAACCTAAAAAAATGATATTCCTATGAAGGTTCAAGAAGCATACAGAACATCGAATAGACTTGATCAAAAAAAAAAATCCCCTCGCCATATAATAATCAAAACACAAAACATACAGATTAAAGAAAGAATATTAAGAGCTGCAAAGGAAAAAGGTCAAGTAACTTATAAAGGTAAACCTATCATACTTACACTGGACTTCTCTATGGAAACCATGAAAGCCAGAAGGTCCTGGAAAGAGGTACTGCAGAAACTAAGAGACCATGGATGCAAACCCAGCCTACTATACCCAGTCAAGCTATCATTCACTATCAATGGAGAAAGCAGAATATTCCAGGATAAGAACAAATTTAAACAATTCGTAGCCACAAACCCAGCCTTACAGAAAGTAATAGAAGGAAAATCGCAACCCAAGGAATCCAACATTGCCAACACTGCCTACAATAACTCAGACATCTAGCGACCCTTCACGAGCTTAACTCAAAGAAGGGACACATACAAACTCTATTAAACAAACAAACAAAAAATAATAATAACCGGGGTCAACAACCGCTGGTCATTAATATCACTTAATATTAATGGACTCAATTCACCTATAAAAAGGCACAGACTAAGAGATTGGATACGAAAACAGGATCCAACATTCTACTGTTTACAAGAAACACACCTCAACCACAAAGACAGACATCTACTCAGAGTAAAGTGTTGGGAAAAGGTTTTTCAAGCAAACGGACCTAAGAAACAAGCAGGTGTGGCCATTCTAATTTCCAACGAAATTGACTTCAAACTAAAATCAATCAGAAGAGATGGAGACAGACATTTTATACTCATAACAGGAACAATTCATCAGGAGGAAGTCTCAATCCTGAATATCTACGCCCCTAATATAAAGCCTCCTACTTATGTAAAAGAAACACTTCTAGAACTCAAGGCAGTCATCAAATCACAGACACTAAAAGTAGGAGACTTCAACACTCCTCTCTCACCAATGGACAGGTCAATCAGAAGAAACCTAACAGAGAAATAAGACAATTATTGGAGGTATTGAATCAAATGGACTTAACAGACATCTATAGAACATTCCACCCAAATAGGAAAGAAAATACCTTCTTCTCTGCAGCTCATGGAACCTTCTCAAAAATTGACCACATACTGGGTAAAAAAGCAAACTTCCACAGATACAAAAAAAAATATTAGTAACCACCTGTATCTTGTCAGACCACCATGGATTAACGTTAGAATTCAACAACAGTGCTACCCTCAGGAAACCAACAAACTCATGGAAGTTGAACAGTCAACTACTGAATCACCCCTGGGTCAAGGAAGAAATAAAGAAAGAAATAAATCTTCCTTGAATTTAATGAAAATAAAGACACAACATACTCAAACCTATGGGAAACAATGAAAGCAGTGCTAAGAGGAAAGTTCATAGCACTAAGTGCCCAATTAAAGAAAACGGAGAAAGGATACATTGGAGACTTAACAGCACACTTGAAAGCTCTAGAAAAAAAAGAATCTGATTCACCCAGGAGGTCTAGAAGACTGGAAATAATCAAACTGAGGGCTGAAATCAACAAAATAGAAACACAGAAAACAATCCAAAGAATCAATGAATCAAAAAGCTGGTTCATGGAGAAAATCAACAAGATTGACAAACCCCTATCCAAATTAATCAAACAGCAGAGAGAGAACATGCAAATTAATAAGATCAGAAATGAAAAGGGGGATATAACCACAGACACAGAGGAAATTCAGAGAATCATTAGATCTTACTACGAAAGTTTATATGCCACAAAGTTGGAAAATGTTAGAGAA